GTCCATAGACGGCATACAGAAAGCCAACTGAACATTGAAAGCCCGATGACAGGTTTTCTAATGACAGCACTCATATATTTTGTTTATTTGGTGACTTTGCTTACATGAAGAAGATTTTGATCGTGTTTCCAAATCATCATTGTCTTTATTTTTTCTTATGAGTGATAAATCGTCTGATGAGATATCTTCAATATCGGAATCGACATTATCAATGGAAGATAAATCTTTTGAAATATCTTTTCCTTTATTTTTACTGATGCTAGTTTTTCGCTTTTTATTGACTTCTTCTATATAATTTTTATTGCTTTTTTTTCGCTTTTTAGAAGATAAGTTTCGTAAGACATTTTCTTTCTCAGACTCCCATATTTTATTGGCTTTTTTGAGATCAATCTTTATAAAAATCATTTTTTTAGAATTTGGTAAAAAAGTTACGTTCAAACATAAGATGCACCATCTCTAATACGTATAAACTTATTTTGATTTTACTATTTAAAAAAAAGTACGCATGTTAAAGATCTTACTTTTCTAGCTTTCTGAATTGTATCAATGATCCTAATAACTTCTTCCGATGTGTTTTGTTCTCTATTTATCAAATTTACAGCTCGATAAAAGTTATCATGAATTGTTCTTAAGCTCATGAATTTGATTAACCAAGTAATGTGATGACAAATTGACCATTCTGAGGGCGAATGTAGTTTAAAATATATTGCAAATGGATATTGTTCAAGAATTTCATCCAAAATATCTGCAAAAAATAAATTACTATAGCATTAAATAAAGTCATTTGAATTTATAAATTGGTAAATTCGTTGCATCTGCCATTATATTAATAAAATTTTGAATCGTTATAACCTTTTAAAACAAACTAAACAACAATTCCCTAACAGTTTTTGTTAAAACTAATCATAAATAATTTGATTTAGCTAATCAGAACTATTTAGTCTATACTAAGTTTAAATGTGAACGTTTAACTAGTTTAGTTATCTTGAATTGAACTATATTAAGAATCGAACTTTAAAAACTAGTTTGTACTTAATTAACTGAAATTTCTAAAAGAAGCGGTATCCAGTATTGTACAATAATAATAATAATAATAATAATAAAGTCTTTTAATCATATACCTGCGAGATCAATATTATCGGACATAGCTAAGATAAAATAAGGTGGCTGGTAAAAACTCAACTTTAATAGGATTAAAACTCAGTGGTGATAAAATAAAATGGCTGATAAAATAAGGTTGCTAGTAAAACGCTTTTGTAACTTTAATAGTTAACAAATAAAGTCGCTGCTAAAATAAGTTGGGTGGTAAAAACTTTAATGGAGTTAAAAGCGCGATGTCATATCAATTGTTTATGTAAACATTATAAGAGATATGGATCATTACGTGTCGAACTTCCCCAATCAAATTGCTTGATTTTAGAAATCAAGCAATTTGCACACTCAAAATTTTGTTATATTAACGAATTTATGATTATAGATACGAATTAAAAGAAGTAAATCTTTAAAATTTAAGAAAGCACATAGACTTAACGAGAGCTCTTAGTTAATGCAGAATTATAATCTTCACATTTTAGAAGCACATACATTAACTCTCAACTATGAACCGAATATACCATCTTCCAGCCATAAACCAAATACTTAAACTTCTATCCAAAGGCAGATAAGCCAAAATAGGATCTTATCTTCCAATCTTTTTTTTTTTTTTTTAATTACAGCATTACAACCTTTATTTGGGTTTGGAAATTGGACGTCAAAACTCAAATATATGTTTATTCGGTAAATAGTGTCAAACTTAAAAAAATTTAGGTTATAAATAAATATGTGTACATTTAACAATATAATATTAAAACAAACGTACTAAATAAAGAAATAAGTCAAGCTAAAAATTAATATTAAAAAGAAATCTTTAACATTTTGCATTACTATATATTTATATATATAATATATAGTTATTATATTTAATTCGTAAACTGACTGTTTTTTGCCTTTTTTGGAATCTGGAGTTTCCCAAAGGATAACCCGATTTTTTTTACTAAGCAACCCTCTCTTCAACTTCTAACAAAAGTTGTAGAGGAAAGAATTTCAAGCATAATGATAGTTGAAGTGTTAAAATCAGCCCAGTGAATCATGAGATATGGGCATTTTTGTCTTTGCGGCTTCTTTGTGTAAATAAAGAACGGTAAACATATAGTCGTGAAGACAAAAGTGCCCATATCTCACGATCCACTGGGCTAATTTTAAATTTTAATGTTTCAACTCCTACTATGCTCGAAATCCCTCCTCTACTTAGGAGTTTAAGAGAGGGTTGCTTAGTAAAAAATCGATTTATCCTTTGGGAAACTCCAAATTCCAAAACTAAAGCCGTGCCCGATCACGTGACATAGAGCCAATAAAGTCGAAAACAGCGAAAAAAAAGAAAAAAATACAAGAAACAAGTGTCTAAACCTATCTCGATTCATTAACAAAAAATATCGGAAGGGCAATTTTACTATAAAGAACCTCCTGACCCTAGTCCCAGGCTAAACCTTACCCTGATTTTAATCAAATAGTCAAAAACATAAGACTGGACACGGCTTTAGACATCCCCATTTTTTAAAATCAGCCGATATGATTTGTAAAAAGTATTTATAATTGTTTAAATAAAAAAATTTTAATAATATAAAGTGTAAAAAAATCCAAATCATACTAATAACCAAACTAGTAAAATATTAACACAAAAATAAATATAGAATAGTGCTAAAGTTAGGGTAAAATAAAATTGCAAGAGAAATATTTCATAATAAAAAAATACTTTAATAAAATTTTAAAATATTACAATATATACGTATAGTGCGTTATTTAATAAAGTATGCTAATCTAAAATAAAATTAGTACAATTAGGCCATGCGAAAAATTAATTACAGCTGTTTTCATAAATTCTGGAAAATCTGGCAAAATTGGCCGACCGAATATTTGCCGATTCGATAAGTTTTGATTCATTAGGGTGATTCATACATAATTAACTTATTCAATATAAGTAGAGGTACAAAATATCCTATTTCTGTTTTGAATCTTTTAAAACAGAAAATGAATAGGAGTTATCCGAAGATAAAATGTGTACCCTTTTTTTTTGATAATGTATTGTTATTAAATGATACTATCGTAATAAATTAATAAAGAATTACAAATTATCAGTTAAAT